ATCTTGTTTAGCCGGGTTGACGGTGTCCTTTGGTCGCACTAAGTGTGACCGAAGTGTCGTGTCGGACGTAAAGACGGTGCGAATGCCTTGTTGTTCTAGGCAGCGGCGGAGAGACTCCGAAACTCCTTGCATATAAGGTAAAACAGTGGTGGATTTAAATTCCGTGACAGGCTCTCTTCTTGGGGTTGTTCATGCCTTTGTAATCTTCTGTACAAAAGAGGAGGGATATCCGTTAGAAACAAGTACTGATGACAGATGTTTCTTCTCTCCAGCGATTGATGTACTTTCATTGCAGGTTGTTTTTGTAATTATGCAAAGTCTTTCATGCCAAAATGTCTTGCAAAGCTCATTGGTTCAATTACAACATCAGTAAGTTTACGTACTCTTGACAAGGCAACATAAGCTAGTCCTGCAACATTTTCAGAAGGACCTAAGTCTACCCATTAGTTTTTAAGGGTGAGCCCTTGTAACTTATGAATGGTTATGGGCCAAGCAAGTTTAATGGCAGCTGCTGTCTTTGAGATTTACTCCATTTGTATCAACTGTATGAGATGTTACTGGAAAAATGGGCACACAATTTGGCATATTTTCACAAAAGCTTGGATTTATGTAATTGTCCTTATCAAACTGTACAATAACAGCAACTGGTAGCATGGGTGGCCTTTGATTTTGAGCAAAGATTATGTCCTTTACAGTCCCCATTGTTCCATTGCAAGGTCCTGTGGTAGTCCAAGGGTTTCTTGTTAACGTAACTCTAGCTTTTTTGGCTAAATATACAGTTGGTTCTAAGCCACCCATATCTTCTGCACTAAGATGCTTTGCTTTTGGGTTGGGGTGATATGCATTGATCTTTACAATGGGTTCTTGAAGTTGCTTTAGGCCTTTCATTTCCAAATGACGATTTTACAGCAGAGGTTTCAAATTGTGTGATGTTGACATTTTGAGGTGTTTTGACGAAAGCGAATTCCAGTATTCAAGACTTCAATTTCCATCTCTTGCCCTTGTTTGAAGATCTCTAAACTGTTGTTGTGTATGTCTGTACCTTTTCTCTTCAAGCTTAACAACTGTTTGAATCCTTTGGTACATGCTTTGGTTTAGTGTGATGTATAACTTTGAGTACCCTTTATATTAAATGCAGCTATTCCAAAGTAAGCACATACTTTACATTGTTCATTTAAAGGATTTGTTACTGCTTGTATTACAAAACTTTTGCCAGAACCACCTAAACCAGTAATTATCATGAAAATTTGATTATTGTTACTGTCCAAAAAGTGGTTTTAATGATGTTGAAAGCAACTCTTTGATTGTAATTCATTTTCTTAATTTCAATTAGCACTGGTGTTGCATTTGTTTCCTGTATAACAGCATTTTTTTTGCTCATCAATCCAGTGGGGCATATCACCAATTTGCTCTGTTGTATAAAATGACCGATCTTCAGCAATGTTGATGTCAGTTTCACAATCACAGGGTTGTTCATTTGCACTATTTGCATTGAATTTCAGGTCGGCTAGAATCATGCACTCTTCTCTTTTGCCAGTATCGGTTTCTGTGAAGTCATCTTTGTCAATGATTTGATTCACATATTCTGGAATTGAATTTATTTGTTGGAGCCAATTTGGAACAGATTGTTTTGCATTTGGTGTCTTTAAGAAACAATGCCAGTTATCAATGTAGACAGGACCAGATCCTTCTTTGTCACCCCATGCGTTATCAACTGAATGCTGCCAAGGTTTTCTGGGACTTGAAGAATAGTTTGGATAAGCCTTGATCACAACAGGAGAAGCTCTCTTTTTTATTCTTGTTTTAGTTTGAGAGTAATTGTAGGCAAACTCTATAAAATTGCATTTGGAAATTCCTGGGAAATCTGCTTCGAATATAGCATTCCTTAGGGAAATTAAACCTGCAAGAAAGTTCATTTTCGTTGCCTTTTTTACGCAAACAGTATGCTGTGGAACATTGTGTATGTCTCTGTACTGAATTTAACATGTCTTCATAATCACTTAAAGGCTCATCACCAATATTCCAATTGTGTGGCTGTGGGGCATTAAGAGATTCTTCACTGATTTTTTTCTTCTCTTTTGGTGTCAATGTTTGTTGGAACAAAGCTACCCATTTCAGATTGCGAGTTATAAACTTTCTCATCATCTTCAAAATTAACAGGCCCAGTGTCAATGCCAACATCGTCATTTTCAACTGTACTGTCTCCACATTCAACTCAGGTAACATCAGAAAGAATTCCGTGTTCTGGCAAATTAACAAGGGTTTGCTTATCTATCCTTACATTTTTATACAGTGGGTTATTAGGTTGTCCATTTTCTTTTTCACCAGTTAACCAATTAAGTGCTTCCACTTTTTGGTGCCTTACTACAAAATCTGAAGAACTATTATCCTGCCCATTGATGGTAAAAATAATGACAGGCAAATCTTAAGGGCACCTGGGCAGTATATCTGCAAGCTGTTGTACATCCTGTGGCAAGGTAATAACATGCCCTTTGTATGCCATTTGGCCACCTCTTGGTTTTGTATATACATGCATTACAGGAAATGCTCTTGCAATAAGCATCTCTTCAAACTGAGTTAAGCCTTGTAACTCTTGGAATGGGAACGTATCGCAGAGTTCGCGATTAAAAATTTCTTAGGAACATTCTTGTCTCGCAGAAAACAAGAACAAGTGTAACCAACAGTATTTTTTGGCTTTGTGTTCAAAGGCCAAGCTTCATGGCACACACAGCAGTGATAAATCTGAAATTTTAGTGATTTATGAAACTTCATATTTTACTGAGATGATTTTTACTGATGGAGTTCCTCAGCACATGTTTCATTGTCAAAATCAATCATTGTTTGAAATGTGGATGCATTTATCCCCAACAATGTCAGGGGTTTGTTGTAAAATATGAATTTTCAGTCTTATTTCTGCTATTCTTTGTCAGGTTTTCAAGTACCTCATTGTCTGAAATATGGTCTGAAATATTTATTTTTCTTGAAACGAGCACATTAGAATGTTTTCTTTTTGTTTTTTTGCTTTTTGCTACCATGCCCAATAATTTTTGTTGCACCTTACAAAGATGTGGATTCACTGATTCTAGAATTACAACTGCTCTCACTTTCACTGTGTATACTGTCACTTGGCACATTAGAATGATGCCTTTGCATTCTTTGTTTTTTATTACTGTGCACAGATTGAGCACCTGGCAAAGATGTGGAATGACCGATTTTAGATTCACAACTGCTCTCACTTTCGCTGTTCATATTGTCATTTAATACAGAATGGTGTCTTTTAGTTCTTCATTTTTTGTCACTGCACAACTTTTGGAGCAGACAAATATGCTGATTCACTGATTTTAGTCTCATTATTCAAACTGCCATTTGCACATGTTGTCAGTACGTGGTCTGTGCAATCATTTCTTTCACATTGGATTGGCATTTCCCACAGCTCATAAATTGTGAAAACTCTTGCAAATTTACTGAAAGAACATCGAAATAAGTCCATATACATGTGTTATGATCTTTAACAGCACAAGTAAAGTGGTTGTTGTTGTTGATACAGGAGGGAATTCAATGAAAAGGAAACGTGAGTTTAATACATTCCTTAAAACAGGCTCAGTTTGAGTATTACAATTTAGTCCAGGGATTTTGTAATCAGACCTGTTACTAATTGCAACAGAAGCTTTCTCATTGTAAACCAGTTAGAAATAACCTATACATTAACATACTAAAAGTCTAAAGATTCAAGCATGGGAAAGCCTCCAAATACGATCAACGTCTAACTCGCTTTCTGCTGCAACGTGAAAATGAGGCTATAAAGGGGAAGTTGTTCTTTACGGCTGTTTTATTGGTATAAATCATGCCTTTCCTTTAAAATTAAGAACATACTCTTAGCGCAATGTTTCCCGGGCCTTAGTCTTAAAATAAAGACCCGTAAAAGAACAACTTTTAAAATGCTGAGTTATTTGAAAGTTTACATTTTCCAAGACACGTTTATCCCTTATCTTCGTGCTAGAAATAGTCATTCTTGAATTGTAATCTACACATGCTATACAAGTAAGTCTTCCGAATCTTCACTTTCGTAGTCCAGGGCGGTGGTAGAGTTAGTGCACATGGACCCTTTGCACTGGCCACAGGCTGGAGAACACTGCATACCATTCTTGCGGCAGATGCACCTCATATTGCGGCAGTCAGACAAACAGTTGCATCTGATTAACTGTAGAAGCGAGTCTGGCGCAGGTGGCAGGTCTGTCGCAACAGGAACCAATTGATCGCCAATTACTTTCCATCCCAGTCCTTGATCAACATTTCTGCATTCTCCCCCTACCACTGCTTTACTTGTAGATAGACGTGCAGCCTGTGGAATTGGGCCGCTGCTGCACTTGGGGGGAGATTCTGTGGCTGTATATGAGATGTCTTTGTTGCAAGTTTCTCAAAGTACTGCTGATACCTGAGAGAGTCAAGACCAACCCCTGGCTTTCCACCGAAAAGTGCCACAAGTGCTTTTTCACTTGCAGCAACAACGTCAGATACAGCCGAATGGCAGCTGAACGTATTAGCTTGCTCTCGGAAGCATGGTACATTCTCAAATTTCTTTAGTGCCGTTGCCTTGCCAACTCCATACAGGTGCAAAGTGGTGTCGCAGCCGGTCATGGCGTGAAGAAACAGGAGATTCCTGCAAACTTCCCTACCAAGCTGATCTTTGACTTTCTTCATATGCCAAACCCGTGCCCCTCTCGTGTTTGCCTTTGGCTCTGGTCTAAAATAGAAATCACAGCCATCTTCAGAAGCATGATAGCACAAGAGGACTAGCAAATCTGTGTTGTCCCCTACAAGAACCGTGGTGTTCGTTTGGGCAGACTCTACGGCAGTTTTCACTATAAGCAGATTGGCAACACCATCGGAGTGGTGTGTCACATAGCCTGCAATCTGTAGAGCCTGACTCAGCATCATCAAAAAGCGTTCCTTGTTCTTGGAGTTAGAGAGAAAGTTATCTTTCTTTAGCGTGATGGACATGCTTTCTGTAGAGGTGACAGTGGCAGCAACCTTCCCTGATGCACGCCTCTGCTGTGTCATAGCTTTAGTTGACATTTCGTCATACCTGTCAAATACCACTATTGCTCTTCCATATTTCATACGCATGTAGCTGCAATCCAAGTTGCACACTTCCTTGTAAGTTGGAGAACCTCTTGGCCACGGGACTCGGTGGAGAAGGGCACCTCCATCCAACACATATTGGACATTTCCTTTGGGCTGCGTCTTGGCCTCTGGTGAAAGCTTCACCCACAGTGCTTCCGCTAGCGCTGGTTTTTGTGGTTGTCTAAGCGTTAATGGGGAGTCGAAAAGAGATGTGGGATAAGTGCAGAGCTTGTATCGAAATAATTCCGCAAGTTGGGAGTTTTNGCCATGGGACTTGGTGGAGAAGGGCACCTCCATCCAACACATATTGGACATTTCCTTCGGGCTACGTCTTGGCCTCTGGTGAAAGCTTTGCCCACAGTGCTTCTGCTAGCACTGGTTTTTGTGGTTGTCTAAGCGTTAATGGGAAGTCAAAAAGAGATGTGGGATAACTGCAGAGCTCGTATCAAAATAATTCTGCAAGTTGGGAGTTTTCACAGGCCATGATCAGTCGCTGAAATAAAAGTTGCGGGTCAACTTGTACTTGATCATTGTTAATCTTCACAGAGGACTTCGATGCCATAGTGATTGCCTGGGCACTTCGTTTGAATGTGTAATCCATGGGACTCTTCCCATTCATTGACGACAGGATCTCCCCGACACGTTTGGCGTCATCAGCATTAACACTACTATTGGCATTTACCCCATTCATGATGTTTCTTAGACTGTCACTGTCAGGAGAGAAAGGGTTATGTGCAGCCAGAGTACTGATGGTGGTCATTGTGTCTTTCGTGTCTCTTGCCTGTCTTGCCTTGGACATATCTTTGTTTTGCTCGCCCGAATCAAACTGTACTCCCGTCAACTCTTGGATACTGTGGTTGGTTTTGGCGCATGCCGGCATAGATAATAGCCAGATAAGATGTTGCTGCTCCGTTAGGCCCCTTCCTCTTGTCAAGCCTCCGCTCGTCTTCAGACTTCTCATAAGAACCTGCTCGATGATTAGGTCAATCAATAATCCTGCCAAAAACCTATCACTCCTTCTTGCCACGCGAAGACCGGAAGCAAAGTTTCTGTAGACATCCGGATGTTTTGTTTGGAGGTCCGTCATCGACTGTAGGTATAGTTGAGCGCACTTAACGTACAAGTTGTGGCCAGAACCAGCGAGATATGGCAGCATTCTTGTCAATGCCTCGAGGTGGAGTTCCCAATTAGCTGTTCACTCTGCTTTGAGAAAGGAGCGCAATATGTCCACCATTTCTAGGTACTGAATCCAAAGTGCTGCAGTGCGGCTTCTCTCAGCAAGGACGTCTTTCTTTCTGCGTACGCATTCTTGAATCTTGCTCAGAACATCTGCTGTGCTTGCATCTTCAGCTGAGACTTTCTTTCCTGTCAACTTATCAAACAATGCACGCACCTCTTCAATCTTTGAAATTCCAACCTGCAAGTGGATGTCTTCAGGCGTCGGCTCCAAACGATGCTGGTGGCCTGCAATATTAAATTAAATTGTCTTTATTTTAGCAACGCTTGTCAAAGTAAAAGAATTGACTTTAAACTGATACTTACTGTTATGAGTGCTTTCTGCATGAGGGGATCAGGCGATACTTGACTCGGAAATTTCATCAGCTAATTCAGACGCAACAGTACTCTCATTACCTGAAATGATAAAATGTAAAATAATTTGACATAATTGCTGTCTAATTTGAGTGACATGTAAAAGTGTATCGTGTAAATTTTACCTCGCTGCTCATTCTCATTGTCTCTGTCCACTGTATCTTTGCCGTTCGCGTTGCAAATTATGGAATTTTCCTCAGAAACTACAAAATAAAAAGTAACAAGAAAATAAGAAATGACAATCAAACCAGATACGCTTTATAGACAAAATAAATGGCTATTACCTGTGTGTTGTAAGAGTGGTATGGGTACTTCCAGAGCATCCGAAT